CACACACACACACACACACACACACACACACACACACAAACACGCACAGAGTTCCTAGGGATGCAATACTACTCTCTTGTGGCCTCCATGGGCCCCTGTACACATGTGGAGCACGTAAGTACACTCAGGCATACACACACACACACACACACACACACACTTATTTAAAATCATTGCACGTAGATGGAACTGAACACTGGAATATGTGAGTTAAGACGGAAGACACAGGCCTTAAAGCCAACCGGGCTTCATCCATCTGTGTGAATGAGATGGCTCAAAGGAGACACCGGTGGGGCCTTCAGGCCAGCTCAATCTAAGGGTGCTCAGTAGGTCCACCAGATATGGAGAACATTCATTCCAGGCATGATCAAAACACATAGAAAGATAAGAAAAAAATGCAGGCACACATAGAACAGATGAGGGCTAAGGAGGTCAGGAAGGTGGGTGGGACCAAAGCTTTGCCTTGCGTGCACAGTTGTGCAGCTTAAGACTCTGGTCTGGGATTCTAGGAGCCAGCAGCAGGTCCTGAGGAGGGGAGGCTGCCATAGAATCAGCTTTAGGTATAGAAAGACTTCTCTGGGGTGGGATACAGACTGGAAAGCCAGGCAGGAGGCCCAGGGGAGGGTCCAGGACTATAGGGGGTAGAGGAGAGGTGGTGAATGAAGCCTGGATGGAGGGGCAGCAGAACAGCAGACTAGAAGGATGGTACGAGAGCGTGCTGCGCTCTTGTACAGTGAAGATATTTAGGAGCCCCAGAGATTCCGGGGCTTCATCCCAGGAGAAGGGATATTCCAGCTGAGTATGTACACATATCAGAGCTGGTCATGATGAGAGAAAGGTTTTATAGGTACAGCACAGCCCTTACAAAGGCCTGAGACAGTTAAGCTTCCCATGTTCTAAGTGACACTGTATTTAGTGCTGTTAAGAGTTTTCGTGTGGGAATAGACAGGGAGTTTCAGAAACAGCTGGAATCATGACATGCAAGGACTTTAAGGTGTCAACACCAAGCTGAGATATGGGACCTGGTCCTGGAGTTCTGGCACCTAAGGGGAGAACTCAAAGATGAAGTGGGGCTGGTAACAGAAAAGAGGCTCAGTCCTCAGCAACCAAGGAGCCCAACCCAGGTCCTCATTTGGCTGCACCCTTTCTGCTGGGCAGGTACTTCATGAACATCACCTGGGATAACCGAGACTACTCTTTCAATGAAGATGGCTTTCTGGTGAACCCTTCACTGGTGGTCATCTCCCTCACCAGAGACAGGACATGGGAAGTGGTGAGTGGCCCAGACTCCAGGCATACAGGGGAGGGCACCTGGACTCCAAGGTCTGGGGGAGGAGGACTGGGGTCTGAATCCCTGATCTGAGGGAGGAGAGACAGGTCTAGACTCCGAGGTCCTATGGAAAACCATAACTGAGGGCCAGAATCTGGTCTGAAGGAGTAAGGAACAAAGAATTTGAGTTCTGGAGGAAGATGGAACCCACAGTTTAGGAAAGCCAGGACATCCTGGAATGCTCCCAGGAAGCATGACTGTTTTGTTGTTGTTTTTATTGTTTTGCCAAGGTGGGCAGTTGGGAACAACAGACCCTCCGCCTCAAGTACCCTTTATGGTCCCGCTATGGCCGCTTCCTGCAGCCAGTGGATGACACACAGCACCTCACTGTGGCCACGCTGGAAGAGAGACCCTTTGTCATTGTAGAGCCAGCAGACCCCATCAGCGGTACTTGCATCAGAGACTCGGTCCCTTGCAGGAGCCAGCTCAACCGGACCCACAGGTGACAGCCCTGGATCCTCAGAATCCTCTTCCCCAGCAGAGCGGGTCAGGCCCCAGCCCCTCGGCCCTCCAGCTGGGGGATGCCAGAAAACTCTTAAGCTTCAGTCTCCCAAGAAAGCACTAGCTTTAGCTGCTGTTGTCCCTCACCTCATGGGAGAGCCTAACAGTGGTCCCCAACCTCTTCAAGCCTGGTCGCTCCCCGCAGCCCTCCTCCTGACGCTCCCCGCCCGGAGAAGCGGTGCTGC